TTCTATGCTGTCTTCTGACCATACATTGATAGTTTTAACCAAGGGTTTACAACTCTTTAGGGCTGTCTTATATGTAGGAATCAGATGAACAGTATTATGGTCAGAGTTAGACAAGGGCGGTTTAGCTATGGCTGTATATGCATGTTTTAAATTTCCATAGCATTTGTCCAAAGTCCTATTCTTCCTGGTATCACATTTAATATACTGTTCAAAACCTGGAAGTGCAGTATTTAAGTTACAATGATTAAAATCTCCAAGGATAAAAATGTGTATATAAAGTTTAATTAAGCTTTTGATGTTTGTAAATGTAGTATATGTAAAAAAAAAAAAAGATTGTTCATGATTCCTAATGCATTAACTAATTTTAACAAATCAAATCAACCCCCTTGTAAAGGGCTACCAAGTAAATTATGTCAATGTTAATTACATTATAACAAATAATAAAATTTCATGGTAACTTTTTATGGATTTTACACTCTTACATAGTCAAGATTAACCATTTACCATAACCGTAGTGAATTCTATCATAACATTCATAAAACAAATATCTACAGTTGTTTATGAAGTGGTGAATTCTTATGAATTTTACACTCTTACATATTCATGCCTAATCACAATGGTAGTCTGAAAGTGTGTGTGTGTTCAAGGTAAACATCAATTGAAACAAAATAAAATGAAGTTATGTATAAAATTTAATCTATCAGTGTGAACAATATTCATAAAAAACAAATGTATGGTGTTGCTTATGAATTAGTGAATGTTTAGGAATTGCAATCCAAGCAGAAAAGAAGCATGGTCATTTACAATGAGCTGAAAGTATGTTTTTTTAAGTTTGATTTGGAAAAAGTTTGTTTTTTATTTTTAAGATACATTAAAATGAGTTTTTATTCACTACAGGATCTTTATTCGATTGTAAAAGTATGTGCAGTTCGACAGTTTCAGGATCTCGACAGCATACAGGTCATATTAGTCTTGCTAATAGTGTGAGCAAATCGGTTTAATTGTCACAAGATGTCAATTAGTAACTTTTTGCTTCCTGTTTCTTTTGTATATTATTTTGGCCTGTTGACTGTACTTTACTTCTAGTCAGTCAGCAATTAATATCTTATTTTGTGCATAAGAAATGCCAGTTTTATACTTTCATAAATTCTTATTTCAATATTATTTACTGATTCCATTTTTTTTTTTACTCACCAACTCCAAAAACATTAAGTTTAAAAGAGATACTTGGTTACAAACTAGCATAAAACATACAGCAATACTCAAGATTGTGTGAAATTGCTCAGTAGCATGAATGAATAATAAATAAAATGAAATCTAGAGCATTAAAAGTAGGTCTGTCCCATAGAGACTGTGCATCTATGTTATTCCTGAAGATTTCGAGTCACTTTCATGAGCTTCCTCTGCTTTATGTGAATTGCCTTGCTCTTGATCCTCCGCCTCTTTCTGTCCTCCAAGAATCTGTAAAGGCCAGAGCAGGTGGGTGTTGTGACCGCCGCTGGTCCGTCCACAGCAGGCTAAGCTTTTGTCTCCTGTTAAGAAATAAAGGAGTGCATTGAGCCAGGAATTGCAGGAAGCCAGCGGCCGAGTGATCTTGTAGCAAATGGAAACCATCCGCATGGTTTGGCACTCGACGGCCTTGGTTTCCTTGAGGACGAGGAAGAGCGTGCGTGTGATGTGGAAGGGCAGGAAGCACAGCGCGAACAGGATGGTGATGGTGATGATGGTTTTAATGGACTTGCGCCGCCTGTTGAGGTACGGTGCATGTGGAGAGCCAGAGATGGACACGGACGTCCTGTCTTTGACCCCTTCGACCCCGCCGCACATTCCCCCTTCCTCTTGCACCTGGGGCTGGGAGTGAAGCGTTTGGAAGATGGTCCGCACCACCTGCGAGTAACACCATGCAATGACGATAAAAGGGAAGAAGAAGCCCAGAAGGTGTAGAACGATTCCATAAGGCACGTATTCGGAAAACTCACTATCAATTGCGTCATCCCAACAGTTCCTATATACCTCCACCTCGACTTTTCCAGCATCTCCACTACTTTCCGACCAAGAATCGGTTCCTTCGTTCACCCCACCTCCGATTTTCCTCAAAACATCCCCTGTTTTGGCAAACCGGACGATTGGGCATGTAAGGATGAACACTATGACCCAAACAGTTGCGCAAATGCCCCTAACCGCCCGCTTGCTCTCCAAAGCAATGTTTCTGATCGGATGACAGATTCCCATGTAGCGATGGACGGATATACAGGTGAGGAAGAAGATGCTGCAGTACAGGTTGAAGTAAAACAAGAAACGCACCAGCCTGCACATGAAGTCTCCAAAAACCCAATGGTCACGCATAACGTAGCTGGCCACGAGGAACGGCAGCGAGAAGCTGTACATCAGATCCGTGGAGGCCAGATTGACCATGTAGATCAGCGAAGTGTTCCACTGACGGCCGCTCCTGCACCGGTAGGACCGAAGGAGGACGGTGGAGTTCAGGACGAGGCTGAGCAAGAAGGTCAAGGAGTAGCACAGAGGCAAGATGATGTACTTGTAGGACTCGTCGATGCTGCAGCTGTGCGGTGTGCTGTGGTTATGAACATCTGGCTGCAGTGATACGTTGGAGATTGAAGTCGTGGTCTTCATGATCAGCTGTCCTTGATCTTGTTACCACAGAGCCACATCACTGTCTTCTCGAGACCTCTTCAGCTCCACATTCTTCAGCTTTCAGGATATCCTGTGAGGACATCGCTCCAAAATGGAGAAAACAAAGGAGCGTTATATAGTTTTACTGTGATTGCATTGTAAATCTGAACTTTCTTGTAGTCCGTCCTATAGTTTATTTCCAAGCAAACTGCAGGTTGACCAATGACTCAGTCTTTCAACTTTATCTGTCTATAGTGCTGAATCGGCCTCTTCTGGTCTATTACCCCATCAATCAGTAACAAACTATTCCGTAAACCCTTCATTCATCTTTCCATCCCCCATTTTTTGAGTCCCATGTACAGTATTAGACGAGTTCTTTCGCACTGCGTTTTTTCTTCACACAAATTAAGAGGTATCAACACGCGCCACTTCCTGACCCTACTGACCCCGTTTGCAATGAAAACTGCGAAGCGTGTGCATTAAGATGCCTAATTTATGGCTAGACATGGCTGATGCATTCATCTATATGCATAGTGCCTACATAACATGGAGCAGTAATGACAAAGTCTCCATGTTTGGTTCATAAAACACTTGAGTTTGTTTAATGAATATGCTTGTGTACTACAGAGGCAGTTTTGGTATTACAATATCATGTGTCCTTGCAGGTATGTTCCAGTAAATAATTAATTCCCATTCATTCAGACAAGAAATGCTGATCGGAAACCCAATCCAGCGTGCAGTTCAACACAAAACCGTGCATATCGATTATAAACACCTTGATTTGATTATTAAAAGTTAGAAAATGTAAACTAGAAAAAATTTGATCGTATTATAGAGATTGAAATGACTGGATAGGTCATCCTTATTCATTTAAAGCTATTTTCTTTTTATAGTATTAAAGCAAAGTTTGTTCTGATACATGTAGACCATTGAAAGTAGATCTAAATGAAATATCTTACCTGCTTAAAGGTCGAGAAAAAAGGTAACTTGAATGTGCAGCCAAAATGTATTCGTTTCTTCACGCATTTGATAAAAGGTCAGGACGAAAAGTTCAGTACTTTTTGCTGCACTTCTTGAACTACAGTCTCTGTGTACAAATTACTTTCTCAGTTTGGTATCCAGATCTGTTAGGTTTTACTAATCAGTAATTCTGTGTGCCTTCTTCTTTTCTCTCTGGTCTCTGTGCCCTCTCTCGCTCCCTCGCTGTTCACTGTGCATGAATGGTCAGTCAGCTGAGCTGCATGCAGTTGAGTACATTTATGTACAGCAATCTAACGGAAACACACAGGTTGTTATGTAAAACATACCAGGGCTAAACAAGTTTTGTCTTATGAACCCCCATAACCCTCACCAGTAACACTCAAGTAGTCATTCATTAACATCAAACCAAATATTTTTTCTATGAACTCATATTATACTGTTTATAATATTACATTGTCATTAATGGAATAGTTGACCCAGAAATGAAAATTTGCAGAAAATGTACTCACCATCCGAGACGTAGATGAGTTTGTTTCTTCATTGAAACAGATTTGGAGAAATTTAGCATTACATCACTTGCTCACCCATGGATCCTCTGCAGTGAATGGGTGCCATCAGAATGAGAGTCCAAACAGCTGATAAAAACATCACGATAATCCACACAACTCCAGCCCATCAATAAAGATGTATTAAAACAAAAAGCTGCATGTATGTATAGCAAACAAATAATTTAAGGCATTTTAACTTTATACCATCACTTCTGGATTATTGTGATGTTTTTATCAGCTGTTTGAACCCATTCACTGCAGAGGATCCATCGGTGAGCAAGTGATGAAGTCCATTATTAACATTTCGGGAAGTGTAACAAATCCACCATAAAGGAGATTTAGCTTTAAACTCTCACATCTGACCAAAATTCAAATCCATAATCCATAATAACACTTCTTCCAATGAAAAAGTTCATCCCCTGTAGTCATTTAACATCAAAATTAATCAACATTTTAGACTGTTCGGGCTTGTAAATGGAGCTTGGTCTGTGCATATTTCTCTCCTGATTCAGATGAGACAACTTTTTCATTGAAGAAATCAATATTATATGTAGAGGACTTGTATTTTAGCCTGAAACAACAGTGTGAAGTTGTGATGCCTTTATCAGCTATTTGGACTCTCATTCTGACGGCACCCATTCACTACAGAGGATCAATTGGTGAGCAAGTGATATAATGCCACATTTCTCCAAATCTGTTCAGATGAAGAAAAACTATCTACATCTTGGATGGCCTGAGGGTGAGTCCATTTTCAGCAATTTTTCATTTTCATTTACTGTCGGTGGGAAGTCAAAAAATTACACATTTATTCATACAAATGTATAAAAATGTGCATTACTTTATTATTTATTTTTCATTAAAAATAAATTGAAAAAATACCACAACATTAATTTTGACTTTAATCTATAAGGAACCACAAAAGGAACTTAAGTATCTTTTAATGCAGAGTATGTATGGCATAACCGCTTTTCCCAACGACTGTGTATAAAATAAATGATTTATTAAATTATTGTGAATATTTAGCACTGAGATATACTTCATTCTCATGTATAAGTTCGATACACAGGAAAGTTATAAGGCACATTCATATGACGGCAAAATGCACACGTTTATATTTTCATGGCGATTACATATACTGTATTTCAATGGAATGCTTAAAGTAACTGATGATTAATACATCACAGTTATTGATCACATATGGCTTTGACAGCAGTTCAATATATTCTCTATTTATTGAAGTAAAATTAAACTGTAAGTGACATATGAATCAGAGCCATTAGAGTTTGTTATAAGGCACTTTTTCCCACAATAAAACTTGTGACTATAATAAATGTGACTCACATTTGAACAAAAGTTTCTGTGAGGGCTACATTTCTTCAAGAATAAACAGGATATTCTGGCCTTTGTTAGTCCACAGGATGAGTAACAGTAAATTACTGCTTTCAGAAAGTGCCAACGTTAAACTGCAGTTACAAAGTGTTCCAAACAAAAAGATCATTCATAATGATGTCATATCCTGTACATCCAGGAGCAAAGCATCTTGCTTAGTCCGAAGGTGGTCCCGTACTACGAGATGTTTCACCAGTTCTGAGCTCAAATCTAAAAGCATGAATCAAATTAGTGCATGAGTCACTATCTCAATGGCATTTGAAAAGTGCAAAAACATTTTGGAAAAGAGTTTAAAGAAGCATTAAAAAACTGCACGACATTTGTGAGTTGTATTATTGATTGAAAATGTTGTTGCTGCAGTTCAGTGACTGCAAATTGTATCACTGAGGAAAAGATACCTTGAATGTCCTCGTTCAGTGAGGCCCTGAGCGCATTCAGCTGCAGTAAAGAGCATGTCTGCAGATCACTAAGGCTAAGAATCTTTCTCCTTATGTTCATGCTACTGTGGGTGGCTTGCTGAAAATAAAACAAAAATATGCACAAAATAAATACCAGAGAAATGACCACCAAGACAGTCACACAAAAAACCACACTGGATTACATTCAGATAACACTTACACTCCTTTGCCTTAAAGGCACAGAGTACAACAGTAGCATTCCAGAAGTAAATATTAGTGCTGTCAAACAATTAATCGCGATTAATCACATCCAAAATAAAAGTTTTTGTTTACATAATATATGTGTGTACTGTTTATATTTATTATGTATATATAAATACACACACATGCATGTATATATTTAAGAAAAATGCTATATTTGTATATTAAATATACGTAAATATTTTCAAAATATATACTGTATGAGTGAGTGTGTATTTATATATACATAATAAATATAAACAGTACACACATATATTATGTAAACAAAAACTTTTATTTTGGATGCAATTAATCGCGATTAATCGTTTGACAGCACTAATATATATATATATATATATATATAAGTAAATTAATGTTTATTTCAGTAAGGATGCATTAAATTGATCAAAATTGACAGTAAAGACATTTTCAGTGTTACAAAAAATTCTATATAAAATAAATGCTGTTCTGTTGAACTTTCTATTCATCAAAAAATGTATCATCGCTTCCACAAAAAGAGGCACTGTTTTCAGCATTGATAATAATAATAAAGTAACAAATCAGCATTAGAATAATTTCTGAAGGATCATGTGACACTGAAGACTGTGGTAATGATGCTGAAAATTTAGCTTTGCCATCATTACAATACAATAAAATGACATAAAATATATTAAAATGGAAACCAGCTTTTTAAAATTGTAAGAATATTTCACAATATTACTGTTTTTACTGTCATTTTGATCAAATACAGCCTTGATGAGCATAAGATACATTTTTTTTTTTATTATTATTTTTTATACTTATTACGGGTATATTATTTTATGCTTCAAATGAAAATTTGAAATGTTGTGAATCATCCCAGAGATGGCTGGTTTGGTTCATTACAGGAACTTTTTATTGAAGAATTTTTTTGAAATCCATGTGGAGAAAATGAAAGGGAAAAATACCGCAAACAAGTCTGCTTTTCTGCCATCATTTACTCACCCTTATGTGATCCTGTGTAACTTTATCCTGTGAAACACAAAAGTAGATATCTTGAATGACACTTTTATGGTGTTTTTGAATCCATTTGGAAACTTAAAAGCTTCAGTCCCCATTACAAGCTCCATTTTTGTTTTGTAAGTGCATGCATAAACCACCCAACGCATTCTCCTTTTGTGTTTCACGGAAGAAAGACAGTCATGCAAGACTGTTGAGTGAACTATGTCTTTGCAACCTCTCACCTCTTTCTCCTTCTGTTCGGCCCATAGCTTGTCTCTGAGAGTCCTGAGTGCTGCTTTTACTTCCTGTTTTAGCCCCCGAGAGCAACTCCCACGTACCTCTGCCTCACATGAGCTCTGAGGATAACAAAAACCTAATGCTTTCCGCAACCTTATAAATCATGACCCGAGATACAACTCAGGAAAACTACTATCACGACTCTCTGCACCCACCTCTTTGCTAGATGCTCCTTCGTCATCCTCCTCCTCCTCACTCTCACTGTTGTTGATGAAACACAGCTGAAGGTTTTTAGGACTATTAAACCTGAAGGATGGAAACACACAGCACACATTAAACAGAACAAGGTAGCTAAAGATTATGAACATGCACATGTGAATTACCGTGACGTTATGACAGGGACACGGCAGGGACTGTAGTTGTTCTCATCCGCCCATGGCTCCCGATGGAGTGAATGGTGTTTTGATTCTGTCCAGCATCCAAGTATTCTGTCTTGCTCTGATAAACCTAGACTCTGAAGCATAATGAGGTCTTTAATATTTTAATAAATATAAATATATATAAAGTCCTGGTAAAATGTTACCTCTGCTTTTTTCCTTCTTTCCTCTTCCTGCCTTTCTAGCTCTGCAATCCGCAAACTTAAATCTTCCCATTGCATGATGGGTAGGTCGTGATCACCCAGGGGGGACTCCTCACTTTGCTCTTTAGTCCCCTGGCCCGAGGGTGAGGGGTCATCAGCGGTCCTCTCATAATACCTGTCGCTGTCTGGATTCTCCTCCATCCGTTGGAGAGTGATGCTAGTCCAGCATAGACAGGCTAAAAGCACATGCAAAATTGTATATATTATAAAATATAAAGACATAAAATAATTTCCAAAACCTTTCCAAATCTTTCATAAAGCTAAACAAAAAAAAATATTTTGAGGGGGGAAAAACATCCAGGGTGACTCAACAAAATGAGTGCGTTTTCTAGTCTGAAAAGGTGATTTTAAAAGCACATTTCTTAAAGATGTTCATTAAGAAATGTTTTTACGTGATGATAAGTTTGTTGTGGCAATTCAAAATAAATTTTGAAAAGCTTGGGGTGGGTGATATTTTGAATGTTTTTGAAAGTCTTTGAAAGTGCTCACCAAGGCTACATTAATTTGATACATTAAACAGTAATATTGTAAAATATGATTACAATTTAAGTCATTCTAATATGCTGATTTGCTGTTTCATTCTAGAAACATTCTTTCATTCAAGAAACATTTCTGTCAACATCATCAATGTTGAAAACAGTTGAGCTTCTTAATGTTCTGTGGAAAAAATGTTTTTTTCAGGATTATTTGATGAATAGAAAGTTCAAAATAACAGCATTTATTTGAAATAGAAATATTTTGCAACATTATAAACATCTTAAGAGTCACTTTTGGTCAATTTAATACATTTTCGCTGGATAAAAGTATGAATTTCTTAAAATTACCCAATGGACCCCAAACTTTTGAACAGTAGTGTATGTTGGGATGTAGTTGCCTTGAAAAAGCAAGTTTTATAGCAAATTTAGCAACCATAAAGGGTATATTTCATAACAAACTTCAGGAGAATTTGGAAACATGGCTGGGAACAGGCCAAAAGACATTCTCATGGAGAGAGAAAAAAAACCCCATATGTTTTGTTTCTGTATACAGATACATACATATCTGGCTACATAAGAAATTGCCTGCAGAGAGAGTAAAAGTTGGAATCTGTAAGTTACATGTTCATGAGGGACAAAATGAAATTAAATGACCCTTCAAGTAAGACACTAGGAAATTTTATTTTATTCCAGACCTTTAAAGAATGCAGCCATACTACATTAAAATGCCTGTTTTCAGAGAAAACAAGCCCAGCACACTCAAGTCACATTAAAATTAAGTAACGTGAGTATTTCTGTTTGCTTCATGACGCATGACTAATACTTGAATCCTTAAAAAGAAACCACTAAAATGTTTTTTCTATTCATCATAAATGTTATACTCCATTTTAGACGTGACAAAGTTGGATCGTATCGTGGCTGAGCCTCCGGTTCCTGTTTTCTTTTCTTTTCTAGGAGTTTTGACATGAATTCACTCACCTTTTACTGTAAAACTGATGTCGACATCGCGACTGTCAGCTAAAATTCAATATATTTCAACATTTCACGCTGTTTAATGAATTATTTCTCACTACTTCAATCCTTCCTCTGCTGGAGAGGAAACACCCCTCTGGCTTTCCCTTTCCTCCCGCCCTCCGCCCGTGTTTCTTCAAGTACGTTTTCTTGAACCGCAAGTTTACGGCGACTTTTTATCGATGTCGATCGTCTGAACTTGTGGAGTCAGTTGCTGCAGTTAAAGTCTGAATTGCGCGTTAATGTTTTGTATAGTGTTATAGTGACAGCTGGAAGTGCAGATAAGACTGTTTGGGAAGGGTTGAGAAAGTAGGTGTCCGATTTCACATGTTGGGACTGGGAGATGAAGACTGCGAGCAGATGGGAAAGTCTGCGGGACTGTGGCGTGTTCACACTGCTGATGAAAGCTGTGATACAATGCTTCAATAATGTAGAAAATCACATCCCCTTAAACCCTAACATAAACTTCACATCGCATCTCTGTGTAAATATTTGAATATTTCTGGAGGAGCTCGAGGTTGCTGATGCAGTCTGAAAGTGGACTAAAGTATTGAAAATATTTAGCAACAAAAGTATACTCACTAAAATGAAGACGGAAAACGTTTGAAAAAAGAAATAATTTTATTATGCAGGATGATACAATAAAAAGAAAATTATGAAATATTGAATGGAATGTTAAAAAATGAAATATTAAACAATATTTAAAACGATTTTAATGACTATAAAACGTCAAGTTGTGTATCCATTAAATAAATAGTAAGACATTATCTTCTAAAGAAGTGTTATTGCATGACAACAACACTTTTAAGTGCATTAAAAAATAGATAATTCCCAAAATATATATGCCAACATTTTTTCCTCTAGGAATGTTTTGCATTTTTTGAGAGCTATATCTTTTTTTTTTTTTTTGGATAGTTTCCTAGACAGAAAATAAGTGTTATGTCGCTGACCCATTTACGTACATATATAGGCTATGTACGCTGTATGGGTCATTGATGCAAAGCATTTTTTTTTTTTAGAAATGTATTACATGTGGAGCTCATATGTTGTTGTCATTCAAGCAAAATAAGAATATTAATAGTAAGACATTATGACGATCATGTAAATGTTTAAATTCAAATTTCAGTTATGTTTACATAAACTGAACTAATTTCTAATATTTTATTATTATTATTATTTGTTGAAAGTAACAGAAAAATTTAAAATTAAAACAGATTAAAATGTCAAATCTTGACATATCTAACTATCATATATCTATACATCTATACACTATCTGTCTATATATATAAGTTTGATCTATAAAAAATATATATATTTTAATTAAGAGTTTTTATGTTCTTCCTTCAGCATTTCTACATACTTTCTTTTCCTATAAAAAGAAAGCAATACAGTGTAAATATCATTCATTTGTCCTCAGACTGTAGCTAAACTCAATCTGTCTGTTCTGGTGGAGCTTCCAAAAGTTCCCACTGTGTGGCATCAATGAGCCTATAGTTGATTTGTCTGTATTTCTGTGGGTCTTTCTGCCTCTGTCTGCGCACCTCTTCATAGAGACTCTCAAACACTGGCTGAGGGGGTGTGAATCGGCCCACCCTGGCCAGGTCCAGGTAATAATCCCACTGATCCTTGTCCAAATTGAGGAGGTGCTTCACCTGCACACCTGTGTCTTGTTTTCGTTGCATCTCTCTCTGCACTTCCTTCTCCATCTCTTCCTGGGTGGGCAGCTTTACTGAGCCCTCCAGGACAGCAAGAGCAAACTTAACCTATGGATACAAACAAGAACATTAGAGTGAGAACCAGTCCCATTCAGTATTCAAATCATATTGCGTTTCCTCTCTGCTCACCTGACAGTCAAAATGTATGAAAGGGCAAATAATTTTGCAAATGCCAAAAAAGAAAATTGAAGGGAAGCCAGGGGGCAGTAAGTATTTGTAGAGTGGAGTCACAAAAAGATCCTGTACGTCCAGTCCCAGCTCTGATGGACAAAGGAAAGGGAAGTTAAAGTTGTATCCTGTACAGAACAGAAGAATATCAGCCTGGGTCACTGATCCGTCCTGGAACTGTAAAGATCCGTCCTCTAAAACCCCAACAACAGCGCTAGCCTGCCGGATACCCAGAGGAGGAGGTAAGGACATGGTTGGTGTGTTATGACTTAGAATCACCTAGAATGAGAAAAACATTTGCGGGTAAGAAATTGAAAAACAGTCGCTCAATCTCAGTCACTTATCGGTGAGGCCAAAAAGGACAAAATCAGTAAAGACCAATTCAAAGTGTTTAATTTTAAATGTTAACTAATGAGATGGATAAAATGAACAACACAAAGGGATACGGCAATCAAAAATAGCATTTCTGTTATTATTTATTCACACTCAGTTTGTTCTAAACCCATATGACTTTTTTTGTGAAACTCAAAGGGAGAAATGTTCATACTGATCTTTTCAAAACAATAAAAATGCATGGGTGGGAAGGTTTAAAGTCACAATAAAATGGAAGTAGCGAGTAGCGACTAATTTTTTTTCTTCCATATTGTGACGTTCATCCTAGTGTAACACAATATTGAAAAAAAATAAGCAGGGTGAAGACTTGGTTCGGTCTATCGGTTGCTGATTGTTTTTAGAGATACGTGTTGCACTCAAAAGTGGAGGCAGATGAACGTGAGCTTGCATTATTCATTATTGGAGAAACCTAGTATATATCCAGTTATGACATTTCTATTAAAAACAAAAAAGTAAGAAAGAAAAGAAAAAGGAAACAGGCACACATAAATTGTTCACAATAAGATCTGTAATATGCATTCTAAAATAGATAGAGTGAATTTTCACTTCATGCGAACTTTAAATATGGGTCTGTTATACTTTTATGACTTCAAAAGGCCTTGAATCAGTGTTATTATCCTTAACTAAAATTAAAACCATAAAACAAATTTTTTTATACTTGAAAAACATTAACTTAAACTTGTTTTATTTCAGCTAGTTGCCAAGGCAACATTTCTCATTTTTTAGTTTAACTTTAAGTAATAAAATAACTACAACTGAAATAAAAGTTAATAAAACTATATATACATAAAATCTAATAAAAAATGACTAAAACTTTAACTAAAATAAAAATTGAAAATTTTATCTGAATAAAACCTATAATAGCATATCAATATTGTACATCTCTTAAATGGACTGCTTTTATGATGCTTTTGGTCATTTTTTGGAGCTTGTCAGCGTCCGTCACGATTCCGAGCAGCATGAACTAACATCTTTTGTGTTCCACAGTGAAAAGAAAGTCATTCGGCTCTGGAACAGCATGAAAGGCAAGTAAATAATGATCGATTTTTGTTTTCAGGTGCCCAACCCTTTAATTTTCAACCAAACAAAGCTGTGGCATTTAAAATGGTATGTGACATTATAAAAAAGGAAGCTAAGCCACAAACCTGAGCATTAACTTGGGCTAACTCGATGGAAATATCCACACCAGATGCTCTGGCCCCCAAGACCACAACGGACTTGTTGGCGAAGGGCTCTGGATAGCGGTACGAGTGGCTGTGCAAGACTTTCCCTGCAAAACAGCAGTGGAAGAAGGCACAGATAAATGCAAGAAGATGAGAGAGAGAGATAAAAGGGAAGATGCAGGGGTGTAATGAGACTAATGGCTGGGGCTTTCAGGGTTATGCATTTGTAGTGATCAGTGATCATTTGTTGTACCTTTAAAATGCTCAATTCCAGGAATGTAGGGCAGGTGGGGGTCGGAGTAATGCCTGCAGAAAGAGGAAGGAAATATGAGTCAGCGCTGAGACGCTAAAGGGCTCCTGTGGTCTTCTGAATTCCCTCACAGAAATGCCACATGAATGCATAACATAATACCCATTCACATCACCTCAGCGAGAATTCAGCCAGATAAAAGCCTCTGGGTATATCATGGGGTAAATGAACATGCCACTATTTGAATAATGCTATGCATTTAGAACATCACCACGAAGCTGCAATCGGAGATTAGATGCAGTTGTGTCCATTTGAGCATGTCTGGGAGATAAAAGGACTCTTTAAGATGGCATCCCTCACCCGTTGCAGACGAACACCGAGTCGAACGTCTGCGTGTTCTGGTCTCCACGTGTGCTGCGCGAAATTACCTCCCACGTCACAGCTCCCCCCATCTCCGTCTCCATGGAGACGGGCTTCACCTTTTCCACCACGGTGCTGAACTGTGAGGGACAAAGCAGTCTGTCATAAGCAATATTCTTGCTTCCGTTGGTAAGAAAAATACTTAGTAACACTGAGAACATTTCTCGAAACACACTGGATGTGTCCTTCGATTTTGTGGTGACGCTGATGCCTTTGACAAGCAGGGGTCAGTGACCCCTACATGCCTGATCTCAACTTTCTGGCCACAGCGGTTCTACAACAATATTTCCCTAACAGCTCTTTTTACTCGACTAATACAGTTTATTTGGAGTCTTATGTAGTTGGACTAAGAGACGACTAAGAGAGTCATGCATTGCTTTCTCAGATTTAAAATAAACAGACACATGCCAAATAGCATTTGTCGCATGATGATTGATCCATAATGTCATTCACGTCAATATTAATTTTGTTTCTACCTCTCATACATTCACAATTTCCAATATCATCAGTTTCCCTCATTATTATGGATTTTTTTCTGCTTATTTCTCAGATATGCAGAGACATTATGTTTAGGTTTTACAAAATATACAGTCACAGGGATAGTGATGGACTGGTTTTTAACAATAGTTTACTCTGGATGGTTTATTTGTGTCCTGTTTTAGGGTTTATTAAACTTAGACATAAAAACCTGCAATGCCAGTCTACGTTTCTTGCAATAAAAGAGCAGTTTACTAGGGGATTGATTCAAGAAGTAGTTTAGCCAAAAATAAAAATTTGCTTTAAATGTACCTCACCCTCAGGCCATCTAAAATGAGTTTGTTTCATCATCGGAACAGATTTGTAAAAAAAAAAAAATTCAAATTGGCAAATGGGTCCTCAGCAGTGAATGGGTGCCATCAAGAATGAGAGTTCAAACAGCTGATAAAAACATCACAAAAATCCACAAGCAATCCACATGACTCCAGTCCATCGATTAATGTCTTGACAATTAACGTCAAAGCAAAAAAAAAAAAACTGAGTGTTTGTAAGAAACAAGGCATTTTAACTTTAAAATGTTGCTTCTGGCCAAAATACACATCCATATTCAATAATAATGCTTCCTTCAAAATTTCATTCCTTGCTGTCTTCTCACATCATAATCCACCAACATTTGTTTAGAACGGTTTTGGACGGGGTTTTTTTTG